AAGAGAAATTTAATAAAATAGCTCCATTCGAGTCTATCATAAGCTTTCTCAAAATCAAGCTACTATATGATTCCCGACTGCTCCTCCACCTTCCTTGAATGAATCGTCTCGTGAGTCATCAATATGATATTGGTTATTTGTCTATCCATAACAAAAGCACTGTGGAATTGCTTGTTGATAAATCCCACGATGCACACTTGTGTGCTTATTTTCTTTTCATTTTTGTGTCCTTGGGCACTTACAAGCCCAAAGTATTTTCAAATATCACCATCATCATCATCATCAGAGTCATATCTGAACTAGTTGGGGTCACTATACAAAACATGTTCCACTATTCTGATCTATCAAAGACTCTCAGTAGGACCATAGGTTCTCAAATCTATTCTCATTACTTCTATTCATATCCTTTTGAATCTTCCCCACTTATTTTCAAATGCACATAGTCTAAAACAAAAAGTATCTTGAACTACTCGTAACAACGAAACTTTAAATGCTTGTGATCCATGTACTTCCCAATTTCCAAATCAAAACGTATCCCAATGTTATAAATGTCAATTGTACGCTGTCCTATTTTGCCTAGCCGTCATTACGAGCAGAAAGCTTGTTCTTGGGGAAGACTTCCTTTTTGTGGCATAAATGCTGTTGTTTTCAAATAGTATCGTTACTCTCTTTGGTTATAGCGGGTGTTAACACCATAATAGCAGACCTTATGTTTAGAAGAACTTAGTAGTGCGAGCAAAAAGTTGCATTCGAAGAAAAGGAACAAGGCCGCTTAAGTCTTCACAATCTCTCATGTCACAAAGAAGGACACGGTTTCTATGCGGCCAGCCCACATATTGTAGAAATGCGGGCTTGGCAACATATATTTTTGAAATATAATTTGATATTAATTTTATAAGAATATGGAAGAAATTTTAGAGAGAGAAACTCTTTGAGAAAATAATTATGCCCCACACAACTCTTGTGGTGGATTTTTCATTGTCCAATATACACTTTCCCATCTTGTTACATTCTCATTTCAAAGGCAATAGCAACATCTCTTTCCTATCTTGTAATATGTATTTCGCTATTTTAAATTTTGTTTCTATTATTCCCCCTCAAACTCGGATGGGGGGGCATTTGAAGCCCGAATTTGAAGCAAATATCTCAAAAAAACGTCTCGTGGCATAGGTTTGGTGGAGATAGTAGCTACTTGATTACAAGTGGAAACAAAAAGAGTGATAAGTAATCCAAGAGCAACATTTCCACGTACAAAATTATAGTATAACTCATTGTGCTTTGTCTGGGCATAAAAAACCGGATTAACTATCATATAGAGAGTACTAATATTGTCACAAAAAAGTGCTGGTGTTTGAGGAAGAGGCAATCCAATATTCCGAAGAATTAAAGAAAATCATGTCAACTCTGCAGCAGTGGATGCCATAGAGTGGTATTCCGCTTCAGCTGGAATGAGTCGCAGTCGACTATTTCTTAGTACCCCAAAATATGCAGTTAGAACCAAGATAGGTATAGAAACCAGTGGTTGAACGACCAGTGGTTGGACACACAGCCCAGTCTGCATCCGAGAAGGTATATAACTCAAGGGAACTTGCAAATAAGATTATTATACCATACGATTGTATACCATTGAGATAATGAAGAATCTGCTTAATTACCTGAAAATATGCATGTAGGGGCATGCATGAATTGACAAACTATATTAATACTATGACAAAGGTTTGGTCGTTTTATAGTTATGTATTGAAAGGCACCAACAATGTTTCGATAAAGAGAAAGATCAGAAAATAGATCAGAATTCTCATGAATATTGTTCTTCATTACTATTGGTGTTGAAATAGGTTTGACACTGAGCATCTGAGCACGATCAAGAAGATCCCGGACATATTTGCTTTGTGAAAGAAAATTCCCACTTGAAAAATAAGATACATCTATGCTAAGAAAGTAGTGAAGAGGTCCAAGATCTTTCATTGCAAACTCCCTTCCAAGTTGGGAAATGAACCAATCTAAAAGATTTGAGTTATCACCAGTAACAATAATATCATCAACATAAATGAGAAGGAGAATATTGCATTGAGTAGTGCGAGAAACAAATAGAGATGAATCAGCTATGTTGCAATAAACCCTAATGATAATAAATAGGTACTAAATCGATCAAACCAGACCCGTGGTGCTCGCTTGAGACCATATAAAGTTCTTTATAATTTGTAGACATGATTTGGATATTTTGAGCTCACAAATCCAAGAGGTTGTTCCATAAATACATGTTCTTTAAGAAAGCCATGCAAGAAAGCATTTTTCACATTAAGTTCTTTGATAGGCCAGTGACATACAGTAGCAATGGTGAGCACAATCCGAATACTAGCAGGCTTAATAACATGACTGATTGTTTTAAAGAAATCAATTCTAGCAACCTGATTATATCATTTAGCAACTAATCTAACCATGAGTCTCTCTAAACTATCATCAAACTTTAATTTAGTCTTATAGACCCAACAACAACCAACAATGTTCATACCTGGAAGAGTGGAACTAGCTCCCAAGTTGAGTTAACATGGAGGGCTTCAATTTTCTCTTCAATTGCATAATGTCAACCTAGATGACCCAAGGCAGACTTAATGGTTTTAGGTTCAAAAGGGAAAGCTTCGAAAGTAAGAACACTTGAGATTGCTGCCATAGATGGGAGAATTCGAGATCTTCGAGTACCACCTTGAGATTTGGTGACCATGTGATAACGATAATGCTTAGATACTGGTAAAGACTTAGATTGGATGGTTTCTTCAGTGGCAACATTTTCATCATCATGATTTTTTGTTGCATCATCTTGGACGTCTTGGATTGGTATTACAGTGATGACATCTTCCTCTATAAGAGAAGTTAGAGAGCTATCAGAGGTGATGGGAAAAACAGGACTTGAGGGACCAGATGCATCAAGTGCATCCCATATCGGTGGTTTATGTGGAGTTGATGAATTAGAAGATGAAGGAGTTTGTATATCAAGCTCATAACATTCTGACCGTTCTTCATAGGTGGATAGCTACCCCTGAACCTGAGAACTATTTAACAAAGAATTGGGTTAGCATAAGGATAGATATATTCATCAAATACGACATGTCTAGAGATATTGACTCGCCCAGACGATGGATGCAGACATCTCTGACCTTTATGTTGAACACTGTAACTCAAAAATACAAATGGAAGAAAACGCGGACAAAATTTATCTGCAGATAGACTCGAAGGTATGAAAAACACCGACAACCAAAAACTATGAGTGAAGAATAGTCTGGTATGCGGCCAAACAACAAAGAATATAGTGAATCCATTTGCAAATTGGTCGAGAGGATCCTGTTTATTACGAAGACGGCGGTATGGAAAGCTTCAACCTAAAACTATTTAAGAATTCCTTCATAAAGCATCATTGTAAGACCCAATTCTACAATATTTCTATGTTTCCATTCAGCTATTCCATTTTATTCAAGTGTTCCTAGACATGATATATGTTGCACAATTCCATTCTCAGTAAGATGAGCAATGAATTCATTCTTAACAAACTCACCACCTCGATCACATTGAAAATTTCAAATTTTTTTATCGAATCTCCTTTTAAACATATGATGCAATTTTACAAATGCAGAGAAAAATTCATATTTTCTTTTCAAATGATAAATGCAAGAAAAATAAGTGTAATCATCTACAAACACCACATAAAAGTGATAATTCTGATTCGACAAAACTGGAAAAGGACCCCATAAATCTGAATGAATATTAAAAAGAGGTTCTGTAGAGGTCTTGTCAGTACTACTAAAAGGGAGTTTACAACTTTTTCCCATGTGACAGCTAGCACAAAAAAAATGTGAGTTATTCCATGCATCAACATTAATCAACTGTTTAGATTATAAGTAATAGACTACTTTATTTTGAGGATATCCAAGTAACTGATGCTACACATCTCCTGATGTTTTCTTATTTCGATTAGAAAATAAAACTTCATTCACATCTTTAAGAGCATAAAGTCCGCCCTTTCTACTCCCGATGACTAGATTTTTCCCTGTGCTTCGTTCCTTAATCTAAAAATCATTTAATACGAACTAAAAAATACAAGGAAAATCTTTTGTATATTGGCTAACAGATAGTAAATTCTTTTTCATCTCTGGCACTAAAATAATAATAGAAATATTAAATTTTTCAAACCCAACATCAATATTGGTATCACCAACATGTAAAATAATTAAGCTCACCATTACCAACCATGACTGTATCTCTACCACTATAAGGGCGAAGGTTTTTCTGTTTACCTGAGTCTCCTGTCATATGAGTTGATGCACCAATGGCTGGGAACTATTATGAGTCTTGGGAATTTGCAATTGTCACTGCAGCAAGAGCTTGAAGAATATCTTTTTCTTGGTACATATGATTGAATCGGTGTCAGCACTTTAATACAATATGTCCAAATTTTCCACAAATTTTACACTTTTCCTAGGGTGTCCGAGCTGATTGTTGTATATGTGAATCTTGTTGAAGATTTGATTCATATGTTTCATAGATGTAGCACAACTTTTTTGGATTCTCTGAAACACACCACGTCCCCCATTATTGTTTTGGCATGTTTGAGCAAATCCATGCCCTCGAGAATTAAAAAATTGTTGACCACCAAACTTGTGTATGCCTCTACCTCTGCAATTTTTAGTACTTATATTAGGTCCAAAATTTCTCTGTTGTCCAGCAAGGGCCATATTCTGATTTGAATATGAGTGTTCTTCAGAGACATTAGGCTGATTTCTAATATCATGACTTTGAAGAAGTAGTCTAATTTCATAACATGAAGGAATTGGTAGTGGTAGCAAAACTCTCATATTTTGGTCCATGTCTATTAAGAAACAAAAATACCTTATTTTTGTTTAATACAGGTTTGCCAATAGCAGCTAAATTATCACATATACTCTTGAATTTGTATATGTATTATGTTAGGGTTGAATTCCCTTTCTTGCAGAGTTGGAGTTGCTAGGTAAGTTGGAACTGCCTAGTTTGAGAATTAACTACATATGCATTCTTCAGGCGTCTCCAAACTTTTGTAGAAGTCTTGATGCCAACAACAAGGCTAAGACACTCTTCTGATAATGTCCCTGTAATCCAGGCTTTAAGAAGCTGATCAAACTTTAACCATGACTTATAGCCTGGATTTTCGATTTCACTGTTACCATCAAGAGAGAAAATCTTTTGACTTGCTGTAGGGCAATCACCATTAATGAATCCAAAAATTTCATGGCTCTCAATGGGAGAAAGCATTTGAGTTTCCCATAATAGATAGTTATTATGTGTCAACTTAATAGACACAAAGTTTCCTATATTGAAGATTGAGGGATAGGGAGAATTGTTTAATGAGAATGAAGCATCCATTGAAGCGAAAGAGGTATTAGATGACAGTTTATGAGAGAGTAGATTTAGAGCCTTTTTTTGTTTGGTAGAGAGATTAGGTATGTAAAAGAGAATGATATAGGTTTTGCTTGAAGGTTAAATAGGGCTAGGCATAAGAGGATGGGATGATATAGTTTTGAGTGATAAAAAAATAAATAAATTTTAAAATAAAATAATATAGTGCATTTTAATATAGATCCATAAAAGATGTAAGAGTAAAAAGATGTAAAGAGACTTGAATGATTCATTTGAAAGATTTGTTTAATATAGATCCATAAAGTGACAATATTGTTGGCAAAAGTTTGCAAACAAGACCAATTTTAGTTTGCAAAAAACTTGAGCATGGCTGGACGCGCGCATACAATTGATGAAGACAAAAAAAAATAAAAGTAAAAATTCAAGAGAGAGAGACGTACCTTCAATTTTAGAGAGGAATATCTACCATAGAAGCTGAGATTTGGATCGATGATTGCTCTGATATCATGAATAAATTTTAGAGAGATAGAGGAACTCTTTGAGAAAATAATTGTGCCCCACACAACTCACGTGGTGGTTCATTCATTATATATAATGGTAATACAATAGTGCAAAATACACATTCTTATCTTGTGATATGTATTTTACTAATTTGAAGTTTGTTTCTATTAAATATATAATCTTAAATATGGAGGCTATGAATATTATTTTCTTTGAAAAAAAAAAAACTAGAATTAATAATTTTATTAAAAAACATTTGGACTGTTAGTTACTATTGTTTTTAGATGGACCAACTATTTGTATTCATTTTATAGATGGATGCTTTATACCTCTTGATCGCATAACGAAGAAATACAGACCAGCCCACATGAAACAATTTGTTTGCAAAAGAAGGCAAGAGAATGGATGCTTTACACCTTTTGACCCCGTAGTGTAGAAATGCAGTCCAGCCCGCATTAAACAATTTTTTCGTAAAAAAAAAGCAAGGGAGTGGAGTCGAATATGAGACAAAAATATTACTTCGTTAGCGGTGGCAATTTCTTCGTTAGCGGCGTTGCTGGTGACTGTCAAGCAGGAATGTTGATCGAAATCTACACAGTTGATGAGCGAGAAGGAGAGAGTAGTATAAATTAAGTGTAGAGAGAGAGAGAGATTAGTTAAATTGTGATGACAAGGATCGCTTTTTTGGTCAGCATTTTCACTGGTCATAAGCGATGAGTAGTAGTCTTGTAAGAAGTGATAAGGTGAAGGTTTAATAAGTTTCTAGACTGTAATATATTGTTCGTGTTGGTTTCACTCTCTTTAGGGAAAAAATATATGAATTTTTAAGCAAGATGACCTTGGCTGGTGTGAGTCACATTATTGGATCTCTTATGGCTATCAAAATTGATATCTTTTTATGTTTTTCATTGGCTAATGTTATAATCATCTTAGACATCTGGGATTGTATACTACAAGATCTTTCACTTTCGATACAAGAAGATCATAATCACACTTAGTCATTCAATGTTAAATCGGATTTATTAAAGTGTGTCATAACTTTCAAGATATTTTATTTGAGACTATGTGCTTTATCTATTACACATCTCCAATCACCCAGTTTCATATCTAACAACCAATAATAAATGCTACTTCATTCCATCAAAAGAAAATGGTCGTATTGTGTACATTTCCTCATCATCAAATCCCCGCAAGATGGTTTTTCCAATGGGAAGCAAAGTATAAAACTTGAAGAGTATATAATCAAACATATATGCATTGCCCATATGCTTCAACCAAATGATGGGAATTCTATCACCAAGCCCTATAATGAATTCTCGGATTCCAAATCTCACCTAAAGGGTAGAGGGCCAAAACCCTATTGATCTACCCAAAAAATGAAAAAAATTGCGATGGTTGGATTCACGTGTGTGTGGAGACTCAAAATGCATCCTACTTCCTGAAAACTTGCTTCTCAAACAAAAGACATACGTACGAGATCTGCAATTTTGGGATCTACGTTATAATATCAAAATGGATATCTTCAAAGTAAATAAAATGAATTTTGAGTACCTCTACCAGTTCTAGAGAGGATATAATCAATCACTTTGTTTTTTCCCTAAAGCTTGTATGAAACCTTTGTCCTGTTTTAACCCCAAGTTTGGGATTCTAATATTACTCCTAACTTGAGTTTCACTCCATAACACAGTTTACCATTGCACAAATTTGGCACATACACGAACAAAATTAGAGAATTTTAGCAATTTAGCCCGCTTAAACGCAAATGACTAATAAGCCTGGTTGTTCAAGGTGTAGAACTCCAAACTACCAAAACGGTGAGAATCCCCCTAGTTATTAAAGGTTGCATAAACAAAACTAAATTTTTTTCATTATAAATCATTGTTACATGATTTTTTTCACTAAATACAATCAAGAGAAAAATACCAAAAAAACCCAAAACCACACTTTCTATGCAACTTATCTTCAACTTAACTTTTTCTCACTTTTTTTTCCAAAATATACTTTCTATCCGAAAACTCCCCAACCAAAATAATAAAAAAAAAATGCCTAAACTACCCTCCCTTACTTTTACCTTACCAACTTCTCTCTTCTCTATCCCACCAAAATAGGGGGCTTCGGCTCCGTGTAAGTTGTGTCCGGCAATAGTGCTCCGGCACTGTGTAAAGTTCGGTCCGGTAGTAAGGCTTTGGCACTATGTAAAGTGCGGTCCGGCAGTAGGGCTTCGGCACTGTGTAAAATGCGGTCCGGTAATTGAAAATGGCAGTCCGGCAGTTGCAAAGGGCGATCCGGCAGTTGCAAAGTGTGGTTCGGTAGTTGCAAAGTGAGGTCCAGTAGTTCCAAAGGGCGGTCCAGCACTCGTGCGCTCCGACAATATCCTACTGGGGTCCAAAAGTCAACATCAAATCTGTCCAAAATGATTTTTGTGTACAAAAAAGGCATTTCCGTCTAAAAAAAATGAATTTTTTCTCTTGGGGGTATTTGCATAAAAGTCTGTTTTGGGGAAGAAATGAGAGAAAAAGTAGGGTTGGGGGTAAGTTGCATAGAACGTGTGGTCTTAGGGTTTTTTTTATAATTTTCCCAAAAATCAACTACTATTAAAAAAATTTCTAAATAAAGTTAAAAAAGTAAGAGGGATGTTCTAGAATCTAAAGGTTTTAAAATTAGTGGGAATAAGATGAAATATATAGAAAGTAAAATTAGTAATAATAGGAGCATAAGCGAGGAAGTAGTTAAGATTAATGGTCAAAAAAAGCCCCAAAAGAAATCTTTTTAATTTAATTAATTTTTAGGCCTTAGAAATGAACTTTTAAATTTTTTAATTTTTTTAAAATGAAATTGTTATCATTAAATGAACATTATTAAAAAACAAAAATTTGGTTTTGAGTTTTCAAATACCAAAATACTAAAATTCACCTAATAGACAATATAGATTCATTACTGGAAGGAGGGCTCGTTTTGATCATGTGTAATGAAGAAATTGAATTTTATCTTTTTGGGATTATTTGTTGGAATGAAGAGAGTGGCCATGCAGTCTGCACATAAATTTTATTAAAATTTTGACTTGTCATATTTTAAAAATTTTCTATACAATTCATCTCAACACACACAGGAAAAAAAATAAAAAAATAAAATTCTGCCTTCTAATTCATCTAAAAAAAAGAAATTAAATTCATGGGCTTTTAATAAAGGACGCAGTTAGGGCGTCGGCAGTCCGCATGATAACTTCCCATCACCACCGTCCAACGCCAACCAACAGGAAAGGACGGTGGCGATGGGGAGTTACCATACCGGCTAAACTTTTTCCTTTAATAAATGTTGTTTCGTATAATGGCTGATACGAGTCTACGACTACTCACTAGACCAAATTACCTACAGCAAGAGTTTATGAAAGTGGAACGCATTCCGATTTCTGGCTAGCCTTCCTAATCTGGCAATCCGCATGCTAAAATAAAGAGAGGAAAGAGGCATGATTGCTTAACAGCAAATCCCGATTTCTGCGATTCGTGGAGCGTATGCTGATTTTTGGGTAGTGTTTGCAAAATCGAACCGAACCGTTAATCAGACATGGGTTCGGAAACCGTTTAACCGACCTAACCGGTCAACTGGCCGATTCTACCGTTTTAATAAAGAAAGTCTCGGATGGTCAAAAAAATATTGAAAAAAATAAAAAAATACAAGAAAAATATCTATTAAAATATTAAAAACACATAAATAAGTATTAAAACAAAACACATTCAAATGATGTTGAAAATAAATGAAAAAATGGATTTTAAGGAATCAATTTGTGCTTAAGGGTATTTTTAAACAAAATTTAAAAAACTGGAAAAATATAAAAGCAAGTATTAGTAACCAAAACAATTTTTAAACTTTACCAAATGTAAATTTTTTGGAATTTATATATATTTTTTTGAAATTATTTTTTAAATACCGATAGATCACGAAAACCGCAAAAAAACATGATCGGCTAGTGACCGTTTCCATCTAACCGAGTGGTTAATGGCTAGATCGCCCGGTTTTTCCAATAATGTTTCTCGGGAACTCTAATCGGGAATCCGCAAACTCATAAAAGCATCAAAATAAAGACAGAAAGGAGACATTGCTTTTGAAAGAAATCTGGAATTCACCTTATTTGAAATCTGGAACTCTACAATTCCGGGATTGTGTGTCTAATTTGAGGGACTTTCTTGTTACTGTGGTGCCATCTAAGATACTACAAAAGCCCTCCCTTGCCCACTCTATAATGGTGCCATCTAAGATACTAAAAAAGTACTCCCTTCACCCCCACCCTATAATAAGCGCTGCCCACCTTGGGAAAGAGGCCTGGGTCACAGTGGTGGCTCCACCACACCCAAGTTACTTTGGGAAAGGTGTTGGGTTAGCTCCATCACATCTCAGTCACCATGTTGTGGTTTCTTCCCACCCTACCAGTAGGAGCCGTCTCCCCCGTTGAATTATTCAAAAAAAGCTGTCTATCCCACGGAATTATCCAAAAAAAAAGAAGCACCACTTACTTCTTTGCACGACAGAGACGTCGAGAAACTACATGTGTATTTATCTGCAATTCTGCGTATAAATTTTATTTTAAAATAATATGATGCCTTCTACTTTATCTTAAAAATAAATAAATTCAATGCCTTTAAATTAATTTTCCTTTCATAGATAACCCTTTTTCTCTCCTAAAATGGTTGATACGAGTCGACCACTACTCACAAGAGCAAATTACATACAAATTACCCTACTCACTCTCATATTACTTATACTCTTCCCACTTTCATGCACGTATACTGATTTCTGGGTAACTTTGCCATTTCTGCAATCCGCATGCTCATGAAATCACGAAAATAAAGAGAAGAGATACGGCAGTTCAAAAACAAATCCCGAATTCTGCAATTCGAGGCAAGTGTTTCTAGTGTGAGGGCCTTTCTTCTTAGCAAAGTGCCATTTAACATTCTATAAATGAACCGTCCTCTGTAATAAGCTCTGCCAACGTGTGTGCGTTAGAGAGAATTAGTGAAACTGCATTTGCATTAGATAGAGATAGAGATGGCACAGGGAAGAAGCAGTGCAATGGGCTTGGTGGCTTTGGTGTTTGTGTTTTTTGGGCTATTAGAACTTAGCACCGCGACCACTTATACGGTGGGTGACAGTGGAGGCTGGACTTTCGGCGTATCTGACTGGCCAAAGGGAAAGAAGTTCGTGGCAGGAGATGTGCTTGGTAACTGCTCTCTTTGTCTCCCTTGTTTGTGTTTTTTTTGAACTTTAATGAAATTAAAGTTAAAGTTTAACTGCTCTCTTTTTTCTTTTTTTTGGTGTTTATTTTTTAACTTTAATGAAATAGATTACAATCGATGGGTAAAAAAAAGGGAAAATTCTTCTCGCTATCTAGCTTTTATGTTTTTAGAAAGCTCAATCTCTCTCTCACTGAGACTAATGCGAACTTGTGTACTCTCTTGGCAGTTTTCAAGTATCCTGCCGTGAGACTAATGTGATTGTGTACTCTCTTGGCAGTTTTCAACTATCCTGCCGGCAATCACAACGTGGTTCCAGTGAACGCTGACGGCTACAACAGCTGCAGCGTTCCTCCAGGCTCCAAGACTTACACTTCCGGCGAGGACCGCGTTACCCTTAACAAGGGAGACAATTTCTACATTTGCGGCTTTGCTGACCATTGCGATGCCGGAATGCAGATACAAGCCAACGCTGCATAGAGAGAGGTTATAGTTAAAAGAGGTCGCAGTGGCTTTGAGGGTTGCATCTCATTTTTATTTTCTTGTTGTGTTTTCACTTGTTCTGAGCGATATTAGGTCTTATTACAAGCTGAGATCCGGCGACAAAATAAATAACATGTGAGTTCATAAACCTTGGAGCTTACTTCCTCCCGCCTATGGGTTGTTCTTTCAATTAATTGCTCTCTCCCAGGCGCACAAATTTATTCTGAGCATGTTGGACTTCGTAATAGAATCTATGTTACAAGACACCAAAGGCATGTTTGATTTCTAGAAGACGTGGCTTTGATTTATAAAAACCAAAGGCATGTTTGATTTCTAGAAGACGTGGCTTTGATTTATAAAAACCAATTCTTATAGCATTGTAGTGCTTTCTTGTTGCATAACAAAGAAGTTTTATAATACAATAATTTTTTATAATAAAATCGATATCACAAGATCCACTTATTTATATTTAAGGCAAAAAAAGTAAGCACCCCCAAATTTCATAGTAGAACATGATGAAACTTGGGGTCTCCAAAAAAATATAGGTTCCATAAATCAAACACGATTGAAACCCGTTTTAAGTCACATCATATCATAAATGGAATTTGACGAAGGAAAAACTTAATAATGTTTTTTTCCGCTCCTATCACTCGATGTTATTTGACTACAAAAATGCCTTTTCATTCAGGGGCATCCAAATTCAACGGAAGTGTATATTTGCACTGATTTACTCTAAGAGATAATAAACATTAAATTTGTTTATGGGCTAAAGTGGGAAAAGAGATTTTTTTTTTTATTCTTTTGGGGTAAATCAATAAGGATATCGGCCCCTACCCGTTTTATTAACAACCAAGAGATGTTACATGAACATATTTTAGGCAAACCGTGGCAAGGGAATACTAACAACAACAGATAAAATGAAAGGCGTTACAACATTTGGGGGACGAGCACGACATATCGTTGCTTCATATATAGAAACCACTATTTTCGCCAGAGAGTCTGCAGCCATATTGGTCTCCTTATAAGCATGTTGAATGCTCCATTGTTGGTTCACAAATGATGCAAGCTTGGATTTACAATTCACCAAACTTATGCGCAATATCTAAGGAGCCCTATGACAATGATTCATAGAATCAACAAGAAGTTTGGAATCACTCTCGATAACAAGAGGTACACATTTCAGTTCCTTTGCTAGGGAAATTCCGTTCTCAAGTGCATGGAATTCAGCTCTGTTATGAGAAGTAATACCCAAGGTTGCACAAAAGCTGCAATGAAACCGTCTTCATCATTGCTAATGATACCCCACATTCAGCGTTACCTAGATTTTGCCTTAAAGCCTCGTCAACATTAAGCTTGAAAAAATCTAAAGGTGGAGGCAACCACGTCACATGAATATGAACATAGGGAGGTACCAGACTCCATTGAAGTTTAATATTGGAAGCTATATGAATTTCAGATGAATGGAGAGCCCAATTGTGGACTTTTTTTGGCGATCTAACCCAATGGAAAATATATCGTAGGAGCTGCTCCCTAGGTGTACCCCCTCTACAATGGACCCAAGAGTTCCGCTCCAACCAAAGCCTCCAAATAGTAAGGGAAAAAACACAATCCCAAACAATTCAAACTAAAGCGCACCTAAAAAACTTGCTAGAAAAATTTGTTTTGATGTCAAAACTCCACAAATCTGATTATCTCAAACTTGAAATATATGGACATATATAAAAAAATTGCATTGCTACCCTTGAAAATAGTGCATCTTGAAATGCATTATATAGAGTCTTTTGTTATCAAATTCGATTTGCTTCGACCGAAGAGGCCCAAGCCTTTGAATTTTAGGCATGAACTAAAGCGAAGCGAAGCGAAGCCTGGTAATGATACTTCGGTTATTAGATTCGGCCTACTTTGGTGACATTTAGGTATGCTTCGAGTCTACTTCGGCCAGCAAAGAAGTAGTTACATAAAAGTGTTTTTTAAATTTTTTTATTTTTTTATTTTTTTATTTTTTATTTTTTTATTTTTTAAAAAAATTTCCATTATTTATAGATATTGTATATATAAATACCTAATTTATTTATATTAAATTACAAAAAAAGTCAGAAGTCTTCCCCCCAATCGGTCGAAGCACCGAATTGCTTTATTTTTCTCACTAAACCGAAGAAGACTCCGAAGTGAATCTACCAATATTGCAGTGACATTTGTAATTTGAAAGGTTGTGAATTGAAGATTACCCTTTTGTGTTTGTGTGTGGAAAACGTTTATAAAGAGTCGAGGCTCTAAACAATCAAATTAGAGTCCACATCAAAAATTTCACTAGAAGAAGTTGTTTTGATGCCAAAATATCCTCAAACTGATCATCTCGACATCAAGATGAATGGACATGAGAAAAAAATGAATAACAAGTTTTGGAAATAGTGAATTTTATAACGCATTTTTGGATAGTCAATTTTAAATATTTTCAAGTTTTCATAAATCTTCTCGATCTACACTACTTTTGAAGCTTTAAATGTTGCAATTAAAGATGAAAATATATTTTAAGACTATCACAATGGTTTCCAGTATTTGGTGTGCTTTACTTTGATTGTTTAGAGCCTTAACTCTATACAGCTGCATCCTAAATATATATATATATATGGGTGCAGTTGGCATACGGATGCATCCGTAGCTGTAGAGATAAGGTGCACCTTCAAATTTAGCATGGTATATAATTTTGATGTAAAATGTACTTAGGATTATCTGAAAATCTATTTACTTAGGATTATCTGAAAATCTATTTTTATATCTAATTATAAAATTAAGTTTAAAAAATGGTTAAAATCAAGTAGATCTATAAACATATGAAAATCTTGAAAATGGATGATGTAGATAATATGTTGTAAAATGCACTATTTCTAAGACTTAAATGTTTTTATTTTTTATGGTCATACATCTGAATGTCGAGAAGATCAATCAAAGGGTTTTTCAACATTAAAACTACCTTTTCTCATGGATTTTTGAGATGCATCCATAGTTCTACATTAATACGTTGCATCCTTATATAAACTTATATATATATATATATATATA